CCATGAGATCATGACCTGAGCTGAAGTCGGATGCCCAACTGACTGAGCCACCCGGGCACCCCAAAGACTTTATTATTTTAGAGCAGCTTTAGATTCACAGCAAACTTAAGAGGAAGATATGGAGATTTGTCCCTAAGGTAGGAATTATTTATTCACTGTTGTAGCCCTAGCTTATATTACGCTTAACGTGACAAGTGGTAGGCACTCCATAAATCTTTATTATTGTTAACAGTAATCATGTCATAGATTCAATCACCTTTAGAGGTTGTCTTTTTGTAATTTATGCCTACAAAATAGGTTAATATGTAAATCCCCGGGCTCTGGCTACTGATTTGAGTTTGTCATAGGCAGCTACCTGCCTTACTGGTTTTGTGAACATAATTTTGTTTTGAACTTTTGAACTCATGTAGCACCCTTGCTTTTGATACACTGAACAGCTACTATTGATACACAATTTCTGTTCTGAACAGAGCTTCCGGACTGACCTGGAAGTTTGAGCCTGGGACTCCAGATCTCTGTGCTTCCTTATTATTTTAGATATTCTCTTCCCACTGTGATTTTTCAGTAATGTAATTGCCCTTGTCCCCTTTTACATAAGAGGTTCTCCGGCACCTACATGCCTATTTCTTAACCTCCTGGCACCTAAAGGAACATTTTTCATACATCTAAGACATGACATTTGGGGGTGACACCTTTCTGGGGGCGACAGTCTGGCACAGGGTAGACTTTCTGTTTTGCATTGCAAACAAATGCATTTTAAATATTTGAGTAACCTGGTTATGAATTGCATTTACAGTTGACTTTTAACAATGTGCTGGTTAGAGGCCCCCCGTGCACTTGAAAATCTGCTTATAACAGTGACCCCCTTACTAATAGCTTACTGTTGACCCGAAGCCTTACCAGTAACATAAACAGTCAATGAACACATATTTTGTATGTTTGATGTATCATACACTGTATTCTTACAATAAAATAACCTAGAGAAAAGAAAATGTTGTTAAGAAAATCATAAGGAAGGGTGCCTGGGTGTCTCAGTCGGTTAAACATCCGACTTTGACTCGGGTCATGATCTCATGGTTCATGGAATCAAGCCCCACGTAGGGCTCTCACTGACAGTGCAGAGCCTGGAGCCTGCTTCGGAATCTGTCTCCCTCTCTCTCTCTGTGCCCCTCCCCCACTTACTTGCATATGTGCTCTCTCTCTCTTTCAAAGTAAATAAATAAACTTAAAAAAACAGAACATCATAAGGAAGAGAAAATATATTTATGGTAACTATACTGTATTGATCAAAGAAAAATCTGTGTGCATAGTTTAAGGGGTTAACTGTATATGTTTAGAAAGGTTAACTGTATATGCTTAGAAACTTTTGTACACTCTTGGGAAGAGATTGGGGAGGGAGTGAAGGGGATGAGTGTGCTTTAAGTAATACTTTATTGACATTTATATCTTTGTAGCGTCTCTTCCTACCCCTATAACATGGATATATGGATATTTTTTCCTCCTCAAAGTATTTTTCTTTTTTAAACCTCCTGTAACTATCCCATTATTCTCTCAGTAAAACTTCAGTAATTCACTCTAATCCTCCACTGTAGCCAGATGTTCAAAAAACATATTTTTAATCTATCGCACGCTTAAAGCATGTAATGTCATATGAAACAGATAAAACAAACATTTACAAACCATAAGATCAGTAACAATTACAATATATGGGCAAATTCAACCCCACCACAGGATGAAAAGATATTTACATCTAAATGGAAAAAATAAAAACAAAATAGTAAAGAAAAATACATCGCAGCCTTGGTCTTTTTGTAAATAATGATTGTTTTTCCTTTTCTTTCTACTTATTTTTTAAAATGTTTATTTATTTTTGAGAGAGAGAAATAGCGAGTAGAGGAGGGGCAAAGAGAGAGGGGGACAGAAGATCCCAAGCGGTCTCTGCACTGACAGCAGAGAGCCAGACATAGGGCTCAATTTCACAAACCGTGAGATCATGACCTGAGCTGAAGTTAAACGCTTAACTGACTGAGCCACCCAGGTGCTCCTCTTTCTAATTATTTAAACATTAAGGGAGTCATATAAGCTTCTTGTAAAAAAAGTCAAGCCACTTGAATACTAATGTTCATAATAGTGTTATTCATAGGAGGCCAAAAAAGTGGAAACCATCCAAATGTCCACCAACTGATGAATAAACAGAATGTGTAGTATATATGGTGAAACATTATTCAGCAGTAAAAATGAATGAAGCACTGATACATGTTACACCATATATGAGCCTCAAAAAAGTTATACTGTATAATTCCATTTATATGAAATGTTCAGAATAGGCAAATCCATACTGACACAAGGTAGAGTAGATGGGAGAGGAAAAAATAAAGAATAATCTTTAATGGGTACCGTTTCCTTTTGTGGGTGACAAAATGTTCTAGAATGAGACAATGGAGACAGTTGCATGACTTTATCAAATATACTAAAATCCACTAACTTGTTTGTATAAAAGCCTGAATTTTATGAAATGTGAATATGTCCATTTTTAAAACATTGAGAAAAAAATATTTATATCCTCCTTTGCTGAATAAGAACTCCTGTGTGTTTTTACTTTTCCTTTCTTCACCCACCTACCTTGTCATGTCATTCTGTTATTCCAGGGCTACAGCTCAAAGAGGCCAGCCAAGTGGACAAAGAGGGTGTAAAACCCTAGCCATATGCTCTTTCTACTGGAAAGAAGGGCTGACTTTTTCTAATCCACACAGAAGTGCGTTAGGAACTAGGAGTGGCTTTAATCATTTTAATGGGCTTTTGGGGTAGTGAAGATTGGTAAATATGTGTACTTAGTCTACTATCTTGAATTAAAAGTCAAGCGCTTCATTTTACTATAATCCTATAATGGGTTATTTTCCAGAATGGAACTCCCTTTGGCCCTCTCTTTACAAGTTGGGTTGAAAATTATCTGATTATCTCAAAAAGCACATTTCTAGTTTGAATGTGTGTGATACAGTTAGTTCCTTTAAATTTGCTTTTTTTGTTGTTGTTGTTTAAAAAAGATTCAGTGTATTGTTCAACTTTACATTATGATCCTCCAATAGTTTTTATATCTCACTAAAGTACCACCACTACCAAGGGGATTTCCTGAAACTTACTTGTTCTAACAATGCAACTTTTCTGACAGCATTCTTATACATTTCAAAAGAGCTCAAGTAATAGTATTCTTTACACTAAATTTAATCAGTGAGTCAACACACATTTCTTGAATTACTATTATGTTGAAAATCACACTGTATTCCAAACAGGAAGAATCCCTAAATCATGGTACTTTATATACAAAGGGCTTATATGCCTGGTGCATAGTAGGTACTCAACAAATATTTGGAAATGAATCAAGAGCAAACACAATTGATCAAGAGCGATTAATAGGCATAGATTTAGTAGGTCCTTCCATCTTCAGAGAAAGAAGGGAAACTATCTGATGTAAAAAATGTGATATAATTAATGACTACTTCTAAGAGAAATCCCAGAATTCTGGCAAATTAACAATTGTTTTAATGTTAAGTATTTGCAGTGTTTTAAGCTGCAGATTTTCTCCAGTGATTTGTGTGTGTGTGTGTGTGTGTATGTGTGTGTGTGTGTGTGTGTGGTTATGTTTTCAGTTTGTTTATTTGTTTATGAAGGAAGTATTTACTGCTAACTTTCAGGATTACTCAAAAGTGTTTCCACATACGAATCAATAACCACTTGTTTCAAATCTGGCTGCAAATCAAACACTTAGTGTTTTGTGTTTGGTTTTGTCTATTTGTTTGTTTCTAATCCTAGAAAGGTGGAATCCGGGATTCCTAGAGTAATTAGAACCACATGGTTGAACTTGTGAATATAGATTTAAGACATATCCCAGGTGATATTTTAAGATTTATTTGTACTACTCAAATTTTACATAAACCTATTTTTCTTATAAAAAATGGAAAATTTCAAATATGCAAAATTCTCATCCTGGTTCCCAGTCTTGCAGAAGCACTTCTTACACGCAGCTGAAAGTTGTATTAGAACTCAAACTATAAGGCCAGATTTTTAATGTTGTTCTCTATCACGTGAATTAGAGAGTCTAAGTCCTAATAAAGAGAGGGAAGAAATGCTTTTTCAAGTATTTAAGGGCCATCATTTAGGATGATATCTTACCAAAGGAATCTCTTCCTTCTCATGGAAAAAAAAAAGCTGTAATTCCAATTACTCTTAGTAAGAAATGTGAGCCATGGAAATAGTAAACATATTCAGTATGTGGAGAAAACAGTTGGTATTCAGTAAACACCAAGTAATTTATTGGCTTGGCAAGGCTCCCTTGAACTCTAGTGTACAGTTAACTCTTACTTATGTAGGACTAGATTCACTATTTGTGAATTGTTTGTAATGCCAGTGAGGGCCTCTCCATCACGTTCCTAAATTCCAGGCTAGCAGTAGGGCTCCTTCGAGAACAGTGGACTAATGTAGCTGACTTTCAAAGCTGACCTATGAAGCACATCCTTTTTGCCATACGCTGTGTTAGGCTGAAAGGCAAAAACCCTGCTTTTAGGGAGCTCACAGTCCTGTAGAAGAGGCAGACAAGTTTAGAAATTAAAAAAAAAAAAAAAACAAAACGCTAGAATACAGTAAATACAGTATGGTAAGTGCTATGGAAGGGGTGTTACATGGTGTCATGGAGTACCAGAAAGGGGAGAAATCTAATTCAGTTTGGGGGGTGGGTGGTTAATGGGAAGGCTTCCCATGGAATGCCTGAGCTTAATCTTAAAGGATGAGTACAATCTAGCCATACAAAAATAGGAGGTAGGATCCAAGGCCTTTGGAAAAAATGTAAAAACAAAGCACTCTACAAAACATGTGCACTAGGGACCATAAGTCTAAGCTCGCACTCAGGTTTCCGCCTTAAGCAATCAGTGGTCAGGCTGAGACATGTTGAGTTTCGAGTGTTTGTGAGGGACGTCCGAGTAAAGTTGTCCATACACAACTGGAGACCTACACCTGTAACTTTGGAAAAGGGTCTGGGATGGAAATATAACATGGAGTTGTCATTGCTCTCTCAGCAACCGAACTCACTGATGTGAATGAGATCGCCAGGGAGAACAAGAAGGTGAGGAGGCCGAGGAGAAATCTCTGGGGAAGATGAGCTTGGAAGGGGTGGGTGGAATCCCGTAAGGAACAGCCAGCAAAATAGAAAAAAGGGAAATGAGAACAGCTTGGTACAATGAAAGTCAAAGGAGAAGAAAACAATCCTCTCAGGTGGCACAGAGAAGTCAGTTATGGGAAGCCTGGTAACAGGTGAAAGACAAGAGAGAGGCAGAAGCCAAATCAGTCAGAAATATTTATTGAGCCACCTACCATGTCTTAAGGATTGTAAATGTCATGCTATTTAGTCTTTACCTCAGCCTTCTGAGGGAAGTCAATATTATTATTACTGTTATCTTCATATGATACCTGAGGAAACTGAGACCAAGAGAGGCCTTGACCAGAGTCATACAACTTCTACGCAACAGATCAAAGATAACTCGGCCCTACCTACTCCTGCGTCCAGTCTCTTAGTCATTTCTGGTTACCAGCTGTGGCGAGAAAGGAGATAATATCTGTAGATGTCTTTTTAGAAACATTGACCAGTGAAATAAGGAACATAGATTTTACAAAGGGGACACTGAGTCTAAATAAGGAGGGTTTATGGCCTTTGGTTTTTATTTTTGTGTTTAAGAAGAGAGAGGTCTGCACATGATTTTAAGCTAAGAAAGAGTCAGTGAAGAGAAAGAAAGAGAAGGATCAAGAATTAAGAGGTTGATGCATTTTTAGCCATATTTCTGGTTCTTGTGGCTAGATCCAAATACATCTGGAAAGAAGACGTCAGTTTGAGTAACTGAAGCTATTTGGTACTGGATAAGTACATTTTATGAAAGAAAACACCTATAATAAATGTCCATCCCATCTTTTCTCATTTTGGCATCCATTAATATAGTTAGTATAATTCATGATAAAGTAGACCGAATTCCTTACTTAATACAATTCACCACTGTACTTGCCATAAAACTAGATCATATCTATCTAGTTCAAGGCAAATATTAACAGCCAGGGATAGGCTCCCTTTTTACTTTTCTTTCGTCTGTTCATGTTATAAAATCGAATGCCCTCTTTCTTTCCATCAGTTACTGTGCACCGATGGAGTGCCCAGGGTTCTTTTGCAGCAGGAAAAAAAAAAGTGCCCATTGCCAACCTCTTAGCTGGGCCTTCTGTGGTCCTAGAAATGATTGCTTTCAGGTCTTTCAGATCTTATTTTTTAATGCATGCAAATGTGGATAAACTTTACTTAAATTGAGCTTCTAGTAATTACAGTAGAAAGGACAATGCAATCCAATGTTTCTTGGTTATGAAGGATTTATAATGAAATCCTTAACCAGAGCTCTTTGTACATTCCTCTCCAAAAGATAATCGTTTTGCAGCTTTGATGGTGCGACATCTAAATCGTACTCTAGTTCATGATTTCATACATTGAAGACAGACATACTAGGACCCAGTGTGCCAAGGCACTAATGCCAGGGCTATGGGGGGAAATGCAAAGTACAATGCATATGGCTTCTTTAGGAGATTTTAATTTTCTTAGAAGAGATTAGATGGTTACAGAAATGACTAGAATTCAGAGTAGTAAGGGGCCAATACAAAAGGTAATATGGGGTTGGATCACCTTAACTTCTTTCCTTTAAAAATAATTATACCCATAATGCAAGAATTTATTTTTGTTGAAAGGAATACAGAAATATCTAGAATACATTATAAAAGTTCCCCCTTACTACCTCCTCACTTCCACTTCCCTTCCCGGACTGAGGCGTTTCTTGCTAATTTCTTCTCTATGCATTTTCTTATGGATGGAAGGATGTATGTAGTTTAGCACATGAGCTTTCACAGCTGTTCAACATAAATTATTTAAAATGTATTGTTCCGCGAATCTTTCACTTACTAAGGTCTTTTCATGTCAGAACACACAGTTCTATCCTTTTTAAAGTCAGTGTACTATTACTACAGGGTAAATTTTTAAATGTATCCTACAAAAGAGAGTGAAAGAAAACAATTAAGTCCTAAAACTTTTGATTGGCAAACACTAGCAATTATGTTAAATTACTTCCATGTTTAATTTCTTGTTTGAGAAGACTAAGCCTCATAGAAATTTTCTCTCACCTTTTTAATCTTTTAAAAACATAGATTTAATGCATTGTTTTGATATACGAAATGCCTTACATAAATATTTTGCCAAAGCCCAAGTGTTCTTTAAAAGGAAGACTTAAGTGAAAAATACTGGAATGCCACCTCGAGAGCATATGTAATTGGGTGCCGTGGATCCCACAGGCGGAAATAAGAGTAAGATAAAATAAAAAGTCTCAAATATTAAAGGACAGTGAGAGTTCTTCCTATAAATTTTAGTTCTTTTCTTATCATTGTTAAACTGATAACTAAAATCTTTTTAAAAAACAAGTTGCTATCCACATCTTGCTTTAAAATATATTTATATGCATGCATGAATAGACAAACACCAAGGAAAAAGTAAGTTTGTGTCTTAACAGTGGCTATTTCTGGGTGGTGGGATGTATTCAAGGTGATTCTTATTCTTTACCTTTTTCAGAACTTTTTAACTTTAAAAATTATGAACACACATTATTTTTCTTAATTAGAAAACAGTTGAAACAATATAATGAATTAATAGTAAATGAATTAAATGACCATGTCTCTAGATTCAAGAAAAAGAAACATTCCCTCCTTATCTTTGTATGTCCCCACGTTACTTTAACTCAAGTAGCTGTCAAATTTTAAAAACTTATAAAGTCAAGAAATAACATTGGAGCTTTATGCGTAATGTATAAAATTATAACCTCGGGTCAAAATACAGTTAAAAATAGACTCTTAATATATAAATAAACACAGCATCTAACATAGTTTATTCTAGTGTTATTAGGCCAACACAAAAAATATATTTGCATTTGCTAAGAAGTTGTGTCTCTTTTGTTAAATAACTAAGTTTTTAAATGTGTAATTTAACAAATTTTAGCTTTAAAAAAAGCTTATTCTTGTCATTTCCAAAAAAAGAGAGGGGAAAGGAGAGAGGAAGCTGTGTTTACTGGGAAAGTTGCAACATTCAGTTCGTAAGTACTTTTTGCTTGAGATATTTTTTTCAACTACTTCTCTTACATAAGAGCCTTGTAATATCTCCATAGGGAGAAATAACACTGGACTACGTTATTTCTTTTTAATTTCTCCTCCAGATAGTGTTTACAAATCAACATGTAGGAATGACTCCGTATTCAAAGTCATTAGCCAGCGCTGGTGTCCATTTGCCATTAAGGACAATTGGTAATTTTAACAATCAATGAGAGTTTATTTTAGGAGAAAACTTACTGAAATTTGCAGGAAATAACCTTTTTGTTCCAAAACAGCTGTCATTGAGCACCATTATATCTACAACAATTAAAATTATCTTTGGTGACTTTTAGCATTTGGCATTGCTCCATTATTGTTCAGTTAAATATTTTTCAAGTTTGCTAGAACTTTTGCCCACTGTGTGCTTACGGCCCTTTATTGTCAATATGTATCTTAGAATTCACCTTTGTGACATTACTTTTTTGTATTGTGGGAGAGAATGTAATTTCTGAGTGAACTGCTGGAGAAATCAAGTAATAGTTATTAGGAAATTGCAGCACATATCTACAAGTTACTTACAAAAATATGATTACAGTGTATTCCATTATATCTGGCAGCACATATCCCCTTCGCTCTTTTTCTAGATCCTTGCAAAAAATTCCCAGTTTAAAGAATTAGCTAATGTCCAGTGGACAGAAAGAGCAAAGGGTGACATGTGCTGTCATTTTGATAAATGTAATTGAAAATTGCGAAGACAATTTCTAAGTTTACTCACCCGGGCCATCATCAGTCAGGGTATTGATTGTCAAAAACAAAACCAAACAAAACCTATGATTTTGCTTGGCAGCGGGAGTCAAAAAATGTTAGCTCAGCACCCATCCAAAATGAGTACTGCTTAGAAAAAAGGAGCAAACCTGAGATTCTGTAATGTCACCCAATCTAAATCTTAAATAAGGCTTCATGTTTCTTTGTTTAATTTTGAAAAGAAAGTAAATGTTTGTCTTCAGAAATGATTAATTAAATATTGGCACACAATGGCTTAGAGACCCTAACTGCATCATATGATAAAGGGTAATACTTTTATAATATCTCAGGCCTTGATTACTATTACTTTGTTACTGTATTTTGAGGGAAAGAGTTTATTTGCCATGATTTTATTCAAGCCAAAAGGTGTTTGGAGACTACTTAAGAGTTATTACTCATTAGTTAAACCTAAAATACTGATACCAGTAAACATTTTTTTAATGTTTATTTATTTTTTGAGAGAGAGTCAGACAGAGAGCGACAGAGTGCGAGCGGGGGAGGGGGCAGAGAGAGAAAGAGACACAGAATCTGAAGCAGGCTCCAGGCTCCGAGCTGTCAGCACAGAGCCCCACATGGGCTTGAACTCGGAACCCTGAGGTCGTGACCCCAGCCGAATTCAGATGCTCAACCGGCTGAGCCACCGAGGCGCCCCCCAGTAAACATTTCTTACACTCTAATACTTTTGAACACTTGTAACCCCATAATTAACCTTTCAGACTAAAAAATACTGGAAAAGATTTAGAAAGGTTAATTAGGTGAAACTGATTTTACTAACTTCAATAAGCTATAAAAATTCAAAGCAATTTAAGCTTTGTGTGGTACATTTTGAGCATCGCCAATTTGCACAAATTGTCTTCATGCTGACTCCCTTTGATACTCTTCTCTCTGTTATGCCCCAGCAGATATTTTTATTTCTGAATTCCCCCTCCCACACCCAATTTCATATCATCAAATCTTGGACTGTTTTTGAGGAGAAATAGCAGTCAACCAAATTGGCTTTCCAACTCACGATAAAAAATGGCGGGCGTACAATATATTATTTAAAAAGCAGATGCAAAACCTCCGGAAAAATGTAAAATCTACTAATAACCTGAAGAAAACACTCCAAATTGTTAAAAAGCCTTATAGAATACTAGGGATTTTTCTTCTTCTTCTTGATATTTTCTGAATTTTTCAGAAACTCGTGTGTTTTTTTTTTTATGGTGAGAAAAATAGTAAAATATGGGGAAGGGTTTCCCATTGATCATGAAAGTGTGAATAAAATATGTAAAACACTGACTTTTTTGAAGGAATAAAAAAATTACTTTTGTAAAAGAATCCCGGCCTCTAAGCTCTTCCTCTCATTTGTGGAACATAAAGTATATTTTGGATCAAAACATGGAACATTCCAGACAATGTGAAATCTAGAAAGGAACTGCACCTGTATCCCGATGCAGCGCCAAAAAAATACAGCTACTGAATAAATAGTCTTCCTAAATTAGGAAAAAGAATTCAAGCCCACTTTCCACTTAGTACTATGCACAAAAGTGAAAGTTTTACTCTTGGCATGAATATGACAAAAATCGTGGGATAGTAATTAGTAGCACAAAGGGATTTTTCTGAGTTTTATTACACGGAACAGTTTTAAGTGGAAGAGTGGTTATTATAGAAGATAACTTAGTGCTTTGCTTTAACTGAATACTTGATGATTTTTAATTAAACTACAGCTATTTACTCTGTAATTTTTGAGAATTATTTGATTAATTATTTCCCTCAAAACTTATTACTTGTGCCAATCAGAAGACACACGTATTTGAGGCTTTGTTCACCTAAACTGATGGCCTTGATAGCGATGAATTAAGCTTCCTCAGAATTTTGTGCAAGAAGAGTAATATTCACATAATGGCATTTCTAAAAAAAAGTAATCTTTTTCCTTGGAAAATATGAAGCAATGTATGTGGAAAGCTGCAAAATCTGTAGTTACAGGCAGATTAGGCAAGGGACATCTGGTAGAAAAAAAAAGAATTAAATCATGGCTAAAAATTGTTTGCAGCGAAAGTAGTAATTAATAAATGGAACAAACTATTAACATAACTTTTTGGAACAAACCATTAGTACAACTTTTAGGAAATAATCAGAAGTTGTAAAAAATTCTGACAGAGGAGAGGCACGAGATGAAGAGGGAAGTTGAGAAAGAAGAATGAGTTTGTGATCATACATGAGACATTGCCATTATTTTTATTAACTTTGCAGAAAACCTCAGACTAACCAGGAGATGTGACTCAGGAGAAGATGAGCTAAAACTTAGCTCTCTGGACCAGATCTTTTGCTCGTGTCTTATATTTTCCCTTAAAAAACTGTGTGTGCGTGTGTTTGGGCTTTGGGTGCATTTCATGGGAGAAAAATCTCTCTTGCATATTCTGTAGTTTACAACAAAAATTGAAAAACAAATAAAGCATGCGAAAATGTTCTTAGACATAGATAGAAGACAGACCAAAATTAAATCTTCATCTTTGCATTTTTAACTTGAACTAAGGTATTGTCGATTTCTTTAAAGCCCCATGTTTTGGTTGCACTCATTTTTGGAGTTTTTTTGTTTTTGTTTTTGTTTTCAGTTTTGGTTTTTTTTGCAGTAATCTTAGCAAATGCTTAAGAAAGCTAAATTGACAAAACAGTTCCAAACCAGTAAAGTGATCTGTATTTATTTCTTCATTGGACCTTTTTGTTAATCTTCCAGTTTATCCATTTATCAGAGATTGAAGCTGCTCTTGAATTGCAAAACCACTTAAGGGGTTTGGTAATATAATCTATTGTTTTTTTTATATATATTATTATATATGTATATATAATACACACACACACACACACACACACACACACACACACGCACACACCAAGCATTGTATTCGATGCTGGAGATACAACACTGAAAATTCAGAAATGTTTCCTGGGCTTGCTGTACCCCAAGTTGTTTACCAAGAAAGATTGTAAAGGTTCTAACGATCTCTATAGTGGTATCAAAAAGTATTTCTCCTTTCTAATTTGGAAAACAAGAACAGTGGCCATTACTTGTTTCTTGGTAATTTTCCACATGCCAGTCATCCTATCTTGGAACTCTTCAATCTCAGACCAAACCCCTTTAACTGGTGGATGACTTTTCCCATGTGACCCTTTAAATAAATCTTAAGATTTTTCCCATAATTAATTAATCTCAGAAATCAAAATGAAACATGTCACCAGGGTCTTATTTAAAGCCAAGAAATTTATTGGCTATTATCCAGCCTTCCTTCTAAATTAAACAACCCCAAACACTACTCTTGCCATCTTTGCCTCTTGATTTTAGGCATTTTCTCTCCAGACAACTGGGACACATGTAAGAAAAGAGTTTTGATATGTCCACATTTTGACCAGGACCACATTTATATTTTATTCTGATGATACATAAGGAAAGTTTTCTCTAAAATGTGCATAGCTGTGTGCTTTAAAAAAGGAACACACAATAGAAGTTAATTTCCTCATCCTCAGTAGTAAAATGCTATTATATCATTTTTCTTTTTTCTTTTTTTTTTATGATCCAAAATATAACAGCTCAAAATCTTTCCTCAAAGTCCTACTCTTTAGGTCTGGTAACAATTTAATGTACAACTAAATCTTTAAGATGGATTACTTGAATTACACTTTATCTTTGGTGACTCAGTTCTTCCTCACCTTTGCCATTTGGCCAGGTTCAAGGATGCTGAAAATGTAAATGAACTGAGTCACGGTCAAACATGTAGTGTAATCATGTAGTGTTCGTGTGTGTATGTGTGTGTGTGTGTGTGTGAGAGAGAGAGAGAGAGAAAGAGAGAGAGGCAGAGACAAAGACATTTAATTTCCAAGGCAAACTTGAGATTACCCATTTTTTAGAAAGAAAAAAGTCTCTCTTTTGTTGAGATAGATAAAACATTGCATAAGGTAAAAAGAAAGCTGGGGCACCTCTACCTCCTTCCCTCTGCTTCTCTCCCCTTTCCTTCCCCACTGCTTTCCTTCCTTCCTATCTTCACATCCAAAGGTCTCATCTTAGCTGAAATCAGAGGATTCCTTGCAGCCGTATAGGTAGGATACATTCACATCCCCTCGTCAGAGAACATGCATCTGGACCCTGGGGGGACATCAGTCAGGCTGTGGTGACCACTACCCACTGAAGCCCATAGCCTCCATGAGCCTATAGCTCCCCTGACACGCCTCAGAGCTAGGATGCCTTCTCCCTCCCCTTTTCCCACCTTTGCATTTTGTCTTGGTCTTTTTCTAGGTTCCTCTGCAGGCTCCCCTCTGTCTCTATGTTTGCTCTTCTCTCTGTTTCGCTCTTCTCTCTGTTTCTCTTTTATTTATTCATGTTTTTTCCATTTTCTTTCTTGAATTTAGATGAGAGAGCTGGCGATATGATAACTTTGTATTTCTTTAAAGACAGAATTGCTGTAACTTCTAATTTTCTTTGCCTATGAGTCAGTGACTTAGAAAGAAAGCATCCTTAACTACAGCTTACAGAATTGCTGCTTAGAAAATGTACGAGATATGCAGAGGGGCTGCTGTTAATTTTTTAAAGTTTCTTATGATAATTTTAGAAAGAAAACATCATAAACATTGAAAAGCATACTTACCCTTGGGAAGAGTTGCTAGAATTAGCAAATAAAAATACAAGACACTTGCATTTTTATACACCAACAATGAAGCAACAGAAAGAGAAATCAAGAAACTGATTCCATTCACAATTGCACAAAAAACCATAAAATACCTAGGAATAAACCTAACCAAGGATACAAGAGATCTGTATGATGAAAACTATAGAAAACATATGAAGGAAATTGAAGAAGACACAAAGAAATGGAAAAACATTCCATGCTCATGGATAGGGAAAATAAATATAGTTAAGATGTCATTACTACCCAAAGCTATCTATACATTCAATGCAATTCCAATCAAAATTGCACCAGCATACTTCTCAAAACTAGAACAACAAACTATCCTAAAATTTGTATGGAACCACAAAAGACCCCGAATAGCCAAAGTAATACTGAAAAATAAAACCAAAACAGGAGGTATCACCATCCCAGACTTTAGCCTCTATTACAAAGCTGTCATCATCAAGACAGTATGGTATTGGCACAAAAACAGACACACAGACCAATGGAACAGAATTGAGAACTCAGAAGTGGACCCAAAAGTATACAGCCAACTGATATTTGACAAAGCAGGAAAGAATATCCAATGGAAAACAGACAGCCTTTTTAACAGATGGTGTTGGGAGAACTGGACAGCAACATGCAGAAGAATGAAACTAGATCAATTTCTCACACCATACACAAAAATAAACTCAAAATGGATAAAGGACCTGAATGTGAGACAGGAAACCATCAACACCCTAGAGGAGAAAGCAGGAAACAACCTCTTTGACCTCCACCGCAGCAGCCTCTTACTTGACACATCCCCCAAAGCAAAGGAATCAAGAGCAAAAATAAACGATTGGGACCTCATCAAGATTAAAAGCTTCTGCACAGCAAAGGAAACAACCCACAAAACTAATAGGCAACCAACGGAATGGGAAAAGATAGTTGCAAATGACATATCAGATAAAGGGTTAATATCCAGAATCTATAAGGAACTCACCAAACTCCACACCCGAAAAACAAACAACCCAGTGAAGAAATGGGCAGAAGATATGAACAGACACTTCTCCGAAGAGGACATCCAGATGGCCAACAGACACATGAAACGATGCTCAGCATCCCTCCTCATCAGGGAAATACAAATCAAAACCACACTGAGATACCACCTCACGCCAGTCAGAGTGGCTAAAACGAGCCAATCAGAGAACTCTAGATGCTGACAAGGATGTGGGGAAACGGGCACCCTCCTACACTGATGGTGGGAATGTAAACTGGTACAGCCCCTCTGGAAAACAATGTGGAGGTTCCTTAAGAAAATAACAATAGAACTCCCCTAGGATCCAGCAATAGCACTGCTAGGAATTTACCCAAGGGATACAGAAATGCTGATGCATAGGAGCACATGTACCCCAATGTTCATAGGAGCACTCTCAACAATAGCTAAAACATGGAAAGAGCCTAAGTGTCCATCAGTGGACGAATGGATCAAGAAGATGTGGTTTAAGTCAGGCAGAGAAGGACAAATATCATATGTTTGCACGTATAGGAGGATTAAGAGGAACTTAAGTGAGGAACAAGGGGGAGAAGAAGGGGGGAAATGGTGGGGGAGAGGAGGGAGGCAAACCATGAGAGACTCTTGAATGCTGACAAAAACTGAGGACTGATGGATGTGGGGGGGAGGGGGGATGGGCATGGAGGAGGACACTTGTGGGGATGAGCACTGGGTGTTATATGGAAACTACTTTGACAATAAACTATTTGTAAAAAGAATAAAAAAAAAAATACAAGACACTTAGTTAAATATAAATTTCAGATAAACGAGGAATAATTGTCTAGTAGAACTATTCTTATGCAATATTTGAGATATATGTATGCTAAAAAAGCATTTATGGTTTATCTGTTGTTCATCTGGGCATTCAGTATTTTATGACTGATCTTTTATATGTATGTAATATTTGTAGCCAGGTGGTTTTCGTTAGGGTACGAGTTGTATTTAGAGTTCTTTGTGCAATTTCCCACTGAGTTTTACTGCCCCTAAAGATGGTCACAAGATAAAGGTGAGTAACAGTGAAAAAATTATAATTAAAATTAAGTTTGCCATTTACTTGTTCTGTGCGTGAGATTCCATGGGAGGAAATGCTACACTTCTCATTTATTTGTCCCCCCACTAATTCTGAATTCAAAATAATGTATTGACTTTGTATTTTCCCCCTTGGGTACATATCTTCTTTTACTTCCTTCCCTTTCATATAAAAAGTAGAGGTTTAAAAAGAAGAAAGCACCTGCATATTCAATTCTTTATCACCTCCTTCTGAAACAAGCACTCATTTACTTCATAAACTTTGGAAAAGGGCAGCATTTCTGAACCTCTTAGAAAAACAGTCAGGCTTGTAGTTACACTAGGTAGACATTTTTCTTTTTTCTTTATTTTTTTAAATGTTTATTTATTTTTGAGAGAGAGAGAAAGAGAGAGAGAGGGGGGAGAGAGAGAGAGAGAGAGAGAGAGAGAGAGAGAGAGAGAGCACAAGCGGGGGAGGGGCAGAGAGAAAGGGAGACACAATCCGAAGACAGGCTCCAGGCTCTGACCTAGCTGTCAGCACAGAGCCCAACGTGGGGCTCGAACCCACAACCCCAAGATCATGACCTGAGCCAAAGTTGGATGCTTAACTGACTGAGCCACCCAGGCGCCCCTAGGTAGACTTTTTCTTAATCACTGCCTCATTTTGAAATAAAATACCAGAAAGAAAGCAGGGTAATATAGTAGTAACAATAGCTAGCACTTATTGAGTACTTATCGAGTACTTACCATTTGTCAGGTACTGTTCAAACATTATATATAAAATGGCTTAAATCATTTAAATCCCCGAAACCAGTGAGGTAGGCACTATTATTATGCCTCCAGTTTCCTATGTTATTTACATATTACATTAGTATGGTAACGTTGTCACAACTAGTGGACCAATATGGATCTATTATTATTAAAGACTATATTATTATTAAAGCCTATACTTTATTCAGATTTATGGGTTTGGGGGAGGAAGACCAAGGCAAAGTGGCGTTCTCAACATATCATATCAACCTGACTGCATGGCTTACTTACTTGTCAGGTTTCTCCCTGTGAAATGACTCTTCCTCCCCACCCCCCACACCTTCTGTAATGTATTCTTTGGAAGTAAGTCACTATTCCCAACCCACATTTACTGAGTAGAGAGTTATAATTGAGCTATTACTGTCATAACTGCTTTATTGAGATATAATTCATACCTGCCAATAATCTTCTTAAAGTGTACAGTTCAGTGGTTCTCAACGTACTCAGAGTTGTACAAACATTACCACAACCAATTTTAAAGCATTTTTATCTCTCCAAAAGAAACCCCATACCTATTAATAGTCATTCCCCTCTTCTCCTTACCTCCTTCTCCCCCAGCCATGGCAGCCAAATCTACTGTCTGTATAGATTTGTCTATTCTGAACATTTTGTGTAAATGGAACTGTGGTGTCATGTGACTGACCTCTTTCACAGCATGAGGGTTTTTTTTTTTAATTTTTTAATGTTTATTTTCAAGAAAGAGAGACATAGCGTGAGTGGGGTGGGGAGGGGCAGAGTGAGAGGGAGACACCGAATCTGAGGCAGGCTCCAGGCTCTGAGCTGTCAGCACAGAGCCTGATGGGGGGCTTGAAATCATGAACCGCGAGATCATGACCTGATCCGAAGTCAGACTCTTAACTGACTGAGACACCCAGGCCCCATCACTTAGCATGTTTTTGAGGCATATCCATGTTGTAGTATGTACCTCATTGCTCTTTATTGCTGAATAATATTCTATTGTATGGACGGACCACATTTTGTTTGCACATTCATCAGCTGATGAACATTTGGATCACTTTCCTTTTTTGGCTGCTATGAATAATGTTGGTATTAAATTTGTGCACAAGTTTTATGTAGATATGTGTCTTCCTTTCTTTTTTTTTTTTTTTTGGCTAAATACCTAGGAGGAAAGTTGCTGGGTATAATTTAGCTATTTTTAAAATAAGAAAAACATGGCTGAGTAGGCTGTGGGCTGTGTCCGCTTTCAGTCATCCACATGGGCTAGAAAAATCTAGCCAATTGCCCTATAAAGCCATAATGCAAGGCCCCACCCCTAATCCATTGGCAGGTCACCAAATTATAAGCATGTTGACTAAGATGAAAGAAAACAGCTTCATACAAGCCTGCCCACACATCCTATTCTATAAACCTATGGCAAGTAACATAGTTTATATGCACTGAAAAAAAATACCAGTTCCATATAATCACTAGTTTCTGTTAAAAAGTTATGGTGAGAAAGCTTCGCTCATCCTACATCTAGATATTCTTCAAGATGCGTAGAGTAGGGAATTTACTTAAATCCTCTTTTTGAAATTCTTGTAAGGCTGCCACTGTCACTATTAGGACTAAGTATTATTTATCAAGAAAACAGGAACTAAGCAAGCCATACTTTTTAGTGTAAGGGATATATGTATCATTTTAAGAAAGTATTTGGCCGTAGGAAAAAAATACATTATAATACAGCTTTAAGCACAGACACATCTACACTGGAGAAGGTTGGGGTGGGGGGGGTGGGAAGAGAAAAGGAACAGAAAAAAACAGCAAATCTGTGGTCTAGACTGCCACTCCTCTCAATTAACCACTTGGTAGGAACCAGTTCAGGTAAATGGCAATTTAAAAAGTCAAAAGATACTTGATCATATTTCTCTTCTTGGTGGCAAGAGATGAAACCCAAGTAGTTTGTAAGAGATATCATTATATTATTTACTTAAAAATAAGTGGCCCATCAGTGCTTCCAGATAAATGCCACGTCCATTATTCCTTTGAAATATAATCACCAAAATGAGGCAGGACACTTAGGGCTTGTCCTTTAGCAGAGAATAAGAAGGGGGGTGAGAAGTCTGCTTTTAATGAATAATAAAACACCAGAAGATAGAGGTCCACACAAACTTGTCATGTCTTCTCTTTCTTTTGTTCTTTGTTCCTTCGCCAAGAATCTATGATATGGTCCCACACAACTGGAGGAAAATAACTGTTGGCTGATTCTAACTGATTTACTTCTGTATCTACCTGTAGAATTTTGCTGACTCCTGATTGAAAAGATACTTATGAAGCAATCTATGAAAATGCAAGTCATAGTCTGGCCACTGTATGTCAGGTATGCAGTAGAGGAAGGTGCTATACAAAAGAAAGGACAGGAAATTGCTTTCTTAAAGTATGCAATCATGACTGTGCACCCAAAATAAAGTCCTAAAACATGAGCTAGATTAGCATGTGTTTAAAATAAGAGATGTCTGGCTGGTATTCACATAGCAACATCTGCGGGAAGAGTTCACCTCAGTAAGAAGGGTAGAAACTCCTTTCCTGGGGACATTTCCAAACAGACTCGATGTGTCTCTGCTTGGAATGATGTAGATCAGAGCCGGTGTGCAGGGAATGTGTCTCAGGTGTGCGCAGATAGCGATCAGCCGTAGGGGAGGTTGGGCAGGGCCCGGGGCCCACAGAGACCCAACACTGATCTTCTTTGTCCACAAGCGCCCTCTTGGATGTAGCCCTGCGTGCCGTGTAAATGCCCTTTTCTATGGGCTCCACGATGCGAAAGAGGTTGAGAGGCTCGTATTTAGGTGAAGCTTGCCAAAGGTTGACCTCTATGATTATTCAGTAAGGATTAAGGATGTAATAAGTTCTTCATCATTTGATCCTCGTGAAGATAAACAATGATGTCAGAATTGTAAGCTGGTTTTTATTCAGCCTTAGAATGCGTTGATTTATTGAGTTAGATTTTGTTTTTCAGTGGAAATATGGCCTTTCTTAGGGAATAGGGACCACAGTGTTTTAGCTGGGCATTATGGACTGGAGTCAAGGGGCTCTAGCCAGGGCTCAAGGAAAGTTCCAGTGCATTTATGGTCTACTTCGTTAGTGTGATGCCTGGTGTCTCAATTCTGCTAACTGGGGTTCTACCCTATTTCTCTGCCTGGATTCCTGTCTTGGTGTTTTGCCAGATACCCCACAACCCCCTAGACCTTAGGCCCTGTCTTGTTCTTACAAGTCTCTCCTCCAAAGGAATGAATGTCTCTGCTCCTGAAATCAAGCCCACGGCATTCCAGGAAGGAAAGAAAAAAAAAAAAAAAAAAGAAAGAAAGAAAACACGGCATCTGTAGATAAACACGTTTGGAGAGATTGCAGGTAGTTCAGCATGACTAAAATGAAGTGGAAAGATCTGAGAAGAGTAAAAAATAAAATGAGGTAAGTAGGGAACTTACCACGAAGACCTTATATGTCATTTTAAGGGTATATAATATGCTGAGGACATAATGTGCATATAAAGATATCATGTGTGGTATATATAAATATAAATATATTTTTTAAAACCATTTTATCATAAAATAATGCATGCTCAGTAAAGAATTACATTTGGAAAATATAATGAAATTTAAAGACTAAGATAAAGATTACCTATTATCTCACTACTCAGATGGAATGACTGATGGTATTTTGTGTATTTCTTTCCAGATTTATTTTATGTGTATGATATATTGTTATTTAACATAAGTAGAACAGTCTGCTTTCTTCCCTTAATGTTACAGTTTGGACTTTCCCCATACTGCTAAAATTCTTCCAAAACACAATTTTAATGATTGCTTAATATTTCATCTTAAGTCATGCAATTTATTTAGGCATTACCCTAGTATATGACATTAGGTTGCTTTCAACTTTTTTCTTCTTCTAAGCAATAGTGCAATAAATATTCTTGTACATAAGTACTGATACTTTTCTCTGGTCATTTCTTTGGGATAGTTTCCTGGCAGAAGAATGTCTAGGTCAGGGAAAAAACTTCAAATTTTTCTTCCTATTAATTTTTAAATTGCATTCCTTCAAGATTGTATTCGCTTTTTATTTATATCAGAATCTCATTACATTCTTCTCAACACTTAGAATAAAATTATTTTTTATCTTTGTGAATGTGATAAGCAAAGAGTGGTATTTTCTTTTCATTGAAATGCATTTGGTTACTAATGAGGTGAACGTCATTTTTAATGTGCCTTTTAATTGTATTTCTTTCATTAAATGGCTTGTCGATGCCATTTTCTGATTTTCCTACTGAAATTTTAGTGTTAGACTATTAATATAAATCCTCCCCAAGTGGCCTTTTGCGTATGGACGTAAGTTGGGTATATTTAAGTAGAAGATATTGTAAAAAGTAAAAAGAAAAGGAAAGGAAAAACTGACAAAAATAACTCTATGTAAACCTAATTTAATAATATCTTGGAAGGGATTACATTTTTTCATTTTTCTTCATGCTCTTCTTATTGATATTAAAGGTAAGCTAAAAACAGACAGATAACCTTTAGGATAATGTGACTCACAAACCTAAATAGAATTGTCTGCTCTAATTGTGTTGTTACTATAGTTGCTCCTTTCCTTAAGGGCTGAAAATAACCAAATGTATTTTGTTTAAAAGATCCTATGTTCCATCTTCTCCTGGATTGTGGGCTGCTTGCAGGAATAAGTATATAGAAATAGCAATGATGACCACTAAAGATTTTTTAAAGAAAAGTAGGTGAAAACTTTCACATAAGAATTTGAGGGCACGATTTACCATTAGAAAACGTCAATGCAGGGGCACTTGTGTGGCTCAGTTGTTTAAGTGTCCAATTCTTGGTTTTGGTGCAGGTTGTGGGATTCTGGAAAACTTCGCTGAGGTTTGGTGGTTTGAAGAGTGGAGATGTAAATGACAAAAGGTAGAGGACTTCTAACTTGAAGCCCCACCCTCCAACTTCAGGTAAATAGTATGAGCCAATTTAGAAAACCTCATAGAATTCACCTCTTTTTCTCTTTGGTATAAAGTAAAAGGGAATTTTGTTTATTTGTTTCCTTTTGTTTAAGTAGCCAATAAAATCCCTGGATAGCAGATGGGAGGGAGAACATTAGGTCACATCAAATGTTTCACCAAACTGAAAATTGAAACAGCCAATGTTTGCACACTCACTATACCAGCTTGATGACCCCGAAACAGGGGAACGTAGTTAAACTCAAGAGCGCTCAGTGACCCCAACTATTTGTCTACAAGGCCAGACCCCCACCCCCCAACTCAACAGAAAGGCCTTGTTATGCAGGGCTCCTTAAAGAGGTGAGGAAGTTCCACAGTCTCATCAATCCATGTCCCAAACTCTCCAGCCCCTTCCTGCTTCCACAGACAGGTCAAGAATAGAACGAAACCACAACCCATTAACAAGAGCCCTTAAAATCATGTCCTGAGAGAGGGATTCAAATACTACCCAATTGGGGCTCCTGGGTGGCTCAGTCAGTTAAGCCTCTGACTTCAGTTCAGGTCATGACCTTGCAGTCTGTGAGTTGGAGCCCCGCATCAGGCTCTGTGCTGTCTGTGCTGTGCTGAGCCTGCTTCGAATTCTGTGTCTCCCTCTCTCTCTGCCCCTTCCCCACTCATGCTCTGTCTCTCTGTCTCAAAAATGAATAAACTTTAAAAAAAAAACCACAAATACTACCCAGATGAACAAGGTCTGGAGTTAAGGAGAATCTGCCTACATTATTTGGGGGCAAAGAGGCCAGGATAGGATTGCCAAGCCAAAGTAGGGGGTAAAACTAGGTGAAATGGGACCTGTGCAAAAATGTGTTAGTCTCCCTCCAGAGCCCTCTACCCACACCCCGAAAGAAAGAAATGCAGTGGAGAATCCAAACTGGAAGAAAAGTTATCCTGGAAGGAGAAGAAATGTTTAGATACTATATTCTTCACACTGTTGAGGACATTAAGGACAACATGAAATAACACAAAGACAGCAGAAGTTCTAGAAGGACCTGGAAAGGTCAACAAAAGGAACTGAGGAGAAAACGGTTCAGTCCCAGAACAAAGAAACATGTTAGAAATAAAAAGACAGAGTGAAGACATGGAGAACCAAGTCAAAGATATATTCCGTAATGGAAATATTTCTGAAATTCCAATAGGAAAAGAGGTCAAGCCTCCTACACACGGAAAAGGAATTAAGTTGGCTTGAGACTCCTTCTTTTAAACATTCATCTGAAAACAGTGAAGCAACATCTAAATGTTTTGAGAGATAAGGGATTTGACTCAAAAGTTCTATACCCAGTGTCATTTTGGCAACAGGTACATACAGGCAATGTCAGATAAGCAAGGATTCTGGAGATAAACCATTTCTGAAAAGTCTACTTGATGATATAACTCAATCAACAAAGAGTTGAAATAAACTGAAAACCTGTAATGTCTGAGTCACAGCATATTTTCAACTTTATTGGCAAATGGCAAAATGCTCTTCAAAGTGATCCTTTGGATTTAAACTGGAGCAAGAATACAGAGTATAACTTTCCCACTTGTCTGCCAGCACTTAGTATTTTCAGATTTTAAATGTGTTTCCAATCTGATATGCACCAAATGGTACCTCATTGTTGTTTTATTTTGCATTTTTCTGATGTGAAGCTGGATTACCCTCTAAAGTAGCTTACTAATTTTCAATTCCATGAGCAGTAGATTAGCATTTATTCTGCCCCACATCATTTTTTAAAAGTTTATTTATTTATCTGTTTAGAGAGAGAGAGAAAACACAGTAGCTCACGAGCAGGGAGATGCAGAGAGAGAGAGGGAGGGAGAGAAGATCTTAAGCAGGGTCCTTGCTGATAATACAGAGCCCAATATGAGGCTCAAACTCACGAACTGTGAGATCATGACCTGAGCTGAAATCAAAAGTCAGATGCTTAACTGACTGAGCCACCCAGGAGCCCCTCCACATCATTCCCCACATATGGGGAACAAGGATGTCATCACCTGGCCTAATGTAGCCTGCAAATTTGACATAACCTCTTTTTTAATGAATTAAAAAAATCTTTTTAAGTTCATGTATTTTTTTTTTAATGTTTTATTTATTTCTAGGAGAGAGAGACAGAGACAGCATGAGCAGGGGAGGGTCAGAGAGAGAGGGAGTCACAGATTGAAACAGGCTCCAGGCTCTGAGCTGGCAGTCAGCACAGAGCCCGAGGCGGGGCTCAAACCCCCGAACCACGAGATCATGACCTAAGCTAAAGTCGGACACCTAACCGACTAAGCCACCCAGGCGCCCCTAAGTTCATGTATTTTGAAAGAGACACCCTGTGGGTGAGGGACAGAAAGAGAATCCCAAGCAGGCTCCATGCTGACAGCACAGAGCCTGATGCAGGGCTGGAACCCATGACCAAGAGTCTGACGCTTAACTGACTGAGCCACCCAGGTACCCCTGATTAACCTCTTTTAACCATTTGTGTAAACACTTCTAGACTCTCTCATACAGACACATATTATACACATATTACGACCTCCTTATTTTCATTCGACAATGTATTATAGAGGGTTCCACAATCCCCCTTCCCTCTGCCTGTTACCAACAACAAAGACCGTGAATAAGTTGTATGGAAAACTATTCCTTCCTTCCTTCCTTCCTTCCTTCCTTCCTTCCTTCCTTCCTTCCTTCCTTTGTCACATAATTCAACTAAAACTCAGTAAGATTTTAATGGGCCATCAAGTTGAAAATCCTGAACAACATATGGATTTTCTTCCACTTTTTATAGTAGACCATCCAATGGATCTTCCTTTTCCTACCTTATGTCACTGTTTGATAAGATAAACTTTACCCAAAAACTGGCTGTGGTTTCACAAAACTATGAATTTATCATTTTTAATGTTTATTTATTTTTGAGAGTGAGACAGAGTGCGAGCAGGGAAGGGGCAGAGAGAGAGAGGGAGACACAGAATCTGAAGCAGCTCCAGGCTCTGAGCTGTCAGCACGGAGCCCAACGCGGCTCAAACTCATGAACTTAAGATCATGACCTGAGCAGAAGTCAAATGCCCAACCGACTGAGCCCCCGAGGTGTCCCAAAATATGAATATTTATAAATAAATGATTGATTCAGGCAAATTGCTTAATTTGAAGTTAGTCATGAAATCGTAAAACACAGTTTCCTTAGATACCTAAGTAATATTTTATTGGGCAAATCCCTCTGAGATAAGTCAAACTGCTCCCCACACAGATTATATTTTACAATCACTCTCTAGTTTTATTACTGTATAGAGTCAACCACAGTTTCCGTATTTCATCTTTGTAACTTGAGTTTGTCTGCATTCCTGTCAAAAATACACTTTCTCCTATTGAGGATATTAATGATGATCCAACAAGAACATCTAGGAAATAAGCACCTAGTATGGTGCCCGGCACAAAATGACTATCTGATATCAGTTGTCAAACACGTGAAAATTAAGCTCTGTTCTCTTTTTTTTAACTGAAGTATAATTAAAATAGAATGTTGGGGGCGCCTGGGTGGCTCAGTCAGTTAAACGTCCGACTTCGGCTCAGGTCATGATTTCACGGTTTGTGGGTTCAAGCCCCGCGTTGGGCTCTGTGCTGACAGCCAGCTCAGAGCCTGGAGCCTGTTTCAGATTCTGTGTCTCCCTCTCTCTCTGACCCTTCCCTGCTCATGCTCTCTCTCTCTCTCAGAAATTAAAAAAAAAAGAATGTTGTATTAGTTTCAGGTATACAACATATTGATTCGACAATTCTATACATTATTCAGTGTTTTCTATGGTAAGTGTAGTCACTATCCATCATCATTCAATGTTATTATTACAGTATTATTGACAATATTCCTTATGCCGTTCTTTTCATCTCTGTGACTTACTTTATAACTGGAAGTTTGCACCTCTTTATGTTCTGTTTTATGATTAAATTTCCTATTAAATCCATCCCTACTTCCTATGTTATATCTGAATTGTCATTTTAAATGGTGGACTATAGATTCCTCCCCCCAAATTAATCCTTGAGGATCCTGCCTTTCTCCTTGATCACAAAACAAAATTATGTATGTAGAATTCATACCTGGCAGCCATTTCCACTTGAATTGGAAAGGATTAAGTGCAAGTGGCCAGAATGCTAATTTTAATCTTAAGACTTTGCTTCCTATTTCAAATTTTTGTTAATATTCTAGTTGATAAGATTCATCAAATTCATATCTTTACCTCTGTTCTTCTATGAAGCATTATCGAAGACAGAATAGGAATTTTAAATGGCATAAACTCAGTAGTACAGAGAGAGTGAAAGAGGAGATGACAGTGGATGGAAGATTCCACAAATTTCTAAGACATGGAAAGTAGAAGGACCCGTCATAACTGACTTAATGGAATGGAGAAAGCTAAAACCTAAATCTACAGATGGCAGAAGGCAATGAGAAGACAGTTAACTCATTCTACAGGGCTCTAAAAAGTTCAGGAATTGGAGACATCAGGTGAACCTTGGGATGGAGAGGATTGAGGATGGGTTGAGAGTCTGTACCACAAGCAGTTAGCTGCCCCCATCTACTCCATTACTCCAACCAGCTAGGTGACTACTCCTCTCTCAGACTATACAAGAACAGAGATGTATTCCTTGAAGAAATTGAAAGAGAGAGGCTCTGGGAGCAGGGACTGTAGGCATAATGCAGGGTAAGGTGAGCACACGGCAGAAGCACCCTCTTTGTGCTCCAGCATCCAAGCTTGTATCTTCCTCTTGCCCCCCACCAGGCCTCTAACTCCCCACTCATCCCCACAGTCATCACATTTTCCTCCAACCAGAAGACTGGATGATCCTCCCCTGGGAAACTGCCTCAAGAGAAAACAAATGTAGACACGGACACGTGGAGACGTCTCACTGAAACAAATGGGCCCCACCAAATTACATCACTGAACGCCCACCGGTCAGCGAGCCCTGCCCATGCCCCACTCTTAAGTAGAATCTGTCAAAGATCACTAGACATTCGAGGAACACCTCCAACATGACAGGCACACAAGTAATAATAAAAATAAGAATAATAATTTGGTTTCAATAATCTGAAGAAAAAAATCACAAAACCTCACAGCAAAGAAATAGGAACAAGGCAGAGAGCAGAAAACAGGTTCAGTCATATTCTGAAAGAAGAGTATATACTGCATCCAAGACATAAGTAAAATCAGAAACAAGAAAGAGCTCTTGAAAACCAAAACTGTGATAGCTAAAATCATAAAAAAAAAAAAACCCAGTCAATATAAGGATTAGGAGACCGAGTTGAGAAACAGTCCCAGAAAGTAGAATTAAAGGACCAAAAGGTGAAAAACAGAAAAGAGAAGAAAATTGGAGGATCATTCCAGAATTTGAAAAAAATAGGAATTCTAGAGAGAGAGAGTAGAAACAGTAACAAATTATAAACCATTGGGGAAAAAAAGAAATCCAAGAATAGAGAGATGATAGATAGAAAGATAGATATAGATGATAGATGGATAGATAGATAGATGATGGATGGATGGATGGATGGATGGATGGATGGATGGGTAGATAGAAGGCAGAAGGACGGATGGATGGATATAAGGGAAGGGAAAGGAAGGCTCTTTTAGTAGAATGATGAGTATTTACTTGTAAATGTGAAGGGAGTACAGGAGTTAAATCATCATTTACAACCATCAAAGTAAAGGTTGGTTTAGGCAAGAATCATCCATGGATGCAAAATCTAAGAGGAAATTACAATGAAGAGATCATTGGCATGGTCTTAAAGTGTATTCCCACAGATTACTTGTTGCAGAGGGAAAAACAAGCTATCTAACAGTAAATATCACCTTGAACAGGTGACCAAAATTAACATCACCAGTAAGGGACAGGTGTACGTGGATGTCTCCAAATGTGACACCCTAAAAAGCGTGTAGGACCAGGAATTCTGATGAGGAATGCATAACTTGAATCTAACCATGAAGAAACATCAGGAAACCAAAATGAGGAGCATCCTGTTTAAAAAGAAGGGAGTGGTGGTAATTTTTTTTTTTTTTGGAAAAAAGCATCATAAAAGACAAAGATAGGCTATAGAATTATCCCAGATTAAAGAATATTAATGAAATCTAAATGCAATACCAGATCTTAGACTGGATCCTGTAGTAGAAGGGAATAAAATAATAATTAAAAAAGCATTTCTGGATCAACTGACAAAATTGATCTATTGGAATATGAATGGTAGATTATTGTGTCAATGTTAAATTTATCAAAGTTGATGACAGATCTATAAATATATATAAATATCTTTATTCTTATAAAATATATTTTAAAATAGTCAGGGATAAAGGGCCATTATGTACAACTAGAACTTAGTTGTAAATGGTTCAGAAAAAAAATTTTTTTATCTATATTACACAAACACTCGTGTGTGTGTGTGTGTGTGTGTGTGTGTGCACAAATGGGGCAAAATGTTAAGAATAGGAGAACCTGGGGGAAAGTGTAATATATGATTACACCCATGTAACCTTGAAGCTATTTACAAATAAAAAGATGTTAAAATTGCTTCTCTCTCACCTTTCCTTGGGAAGCTACTAGACGATGCACTCTAACAAAGGTGCTGAGCAAATCAGTAACAAAGAAGACAAGAATCCAGGAAACTGGGGAAATCACACTGGAGAAAGGGAAGACAATTCCTAGGATGAAGTAAAGGCAACACTGGCAACTTTGCGGGAGCCCAAAAGAACAACTAATCCCTACTTGATGCAGGGGATGGAGAAATTCCAGAAAGATGTCACCCGATTCCCCCCAGATGAAATCAGTGGATCACCTGAGGTGGTTTTAAAGGAGTTTTCAACTCTTTTTGAAGAGTTTGGTAAAAATTGGCAGTAGTAGGGGAAAAAATGGTGAGGGACAATGACTAATTCCAGGGAAAAATAAACATACAGAAAAGGAAATGTAATATTCTATAGACTATTGGCTCACTCATGAATAATACATACATGGTAATAATAATGTAAACACAGAATGTTCATATGTCTAAAACTTGTGATAGAAGCATGTTGAGAAAGGAAAGGAGGAAAGAAAGGACAGGAACAGATGGGGAGAGAGCGCTAAATTCATAGCTTCCATAGTTGTAAGCTAGATAACACCCAAGGTCACAAAGAAAAAGCAAATCACTTAGAAATATGGAGGGAACTCTCAGTATCTGAGAAGCAGAACTCAGAAACAGTCATGTGAGGAAGTGGATTGTAGTTTTGGGGGGCATTCTTTGGAATAAGCTTTATAATACTATTTGTTTACTTATTGCATGTATCGTTTGAATAAAGGAAAACATTTTAAAATTCCATATATCTGTTATTATGACAATAAACAATGCATTTATTCTATATTTCTCTTTTCCATAGTACTAGGATAGAAGTAAAGCAAGGGGGAGCTGCCAATTAGAAAGGCTGGATTGTTATATTCATGATAAAATTTAGTTTATGTTAATTTTTAAAAGCTCTGTGTGGGGGGGGCTCCTGGGTAGCTCAGTTGGTTAAACGGCTGACTTCAGCTCAGGTCATGATCTCACAGCTGGTGAGTTCGAGCCCCGTGTCAGGCTCTGTGCTGACAGCTCAGAGCCTGGAGCCTGCTTCAGATTCTGTGTCTCCCTCTCTCTCTGCCCCATCCCCACTTGCACTCTGTCTCTCCTTCAAAAATAAGTAAACATTAAAAACATTTAAAAAAATTAAAAGCTGTGTGTGTGTGTGTGTGTGTGTGTGTGTGTGTGTGTTGGCTTGAAGGGGAGAGGAAAAGGAAGGGTGGATTTTGAATAATTCAGGTATTTGCGGAAGGAAGGAGGAAGCTGTATTCATTACATGCACTGTAATATGGTCATGCTTAAGAAAGTAATTATGATCCAGGAGGAGTTTGATACCTAAAAATAAGAAAAGGAAGTGCAGAGAGGTGTTCCCATCAAATAGAAGGGTCCAGTCTATAATTTTAGATATAGAACAGGACGGAAAGGGGAAAATGTAGAAAAGACGTTGATTTGCTTTTTACGGACAAAAAGTGCTAGATCTCAAAACATGGCGCAGCTGGGGAGTCATTTCACCTGCAGGACAGGTGTAACACAAGGCACAAGAGAAGTTTGTACACGTTATAAGGGTTTCAAGCTGAGATTTCCCTGGGGAAGTAGGGACGCCAAGGAGAAGAGTGTGGGTGGTAGACAATCACTCAGTCTGGTTGGTGGAAATTTCAAGGCTAAGCAGAAATATGTTGAATTTTCTTTGGCAAAAAAAAACATGTGTTAAGAATACCAGTGATTTCTTAATCCAGTTTTGCAAGTACAAACAATGACTGACTATTATAAAAAGGGCTATTCAGATTTAGATTTCTTCATAGTTGCAATAAGGCAAAGATCAAATTTTTAATGTAAAAAAGGAAAAACAGAGGAGACAACGAGGGAGAAGTTTCTAAAACTTTAGAGGCATATTCACTGCTTTATAATTTATGGCATTTCATACTATAATTTTTGCAAATGGAAGTCAATATGCAAAACTGACTTACAATGTTATGGTTAGGAAGTTTCTATGCTCTCGCCGATCTAAAATAAAAGGAAGCATATACTTTTTCAAAGGTTGATGATGTCAGTGTTATTGATTGGAAATGCTTCTTGGTTATAATGCCCAAATCCCATCAAAACAAGAAGTTTTTAGTCCATCATCTGGATGTTCCCAAACACCTAGATATTCGGTGCTGTGTAGACAAAACATACAAATGACATAACCCAAAACACAAAGACATTCCACAGAAACTTGCAGGTTCTGTCCAGATATTCGGGATGGTATGGCTGGATGCTCATTGCTCTTATCTCAGGCCTTGGGAAATGGGCTGTGCAAAGTACATGGCTTTGTTCAAATCTGCTTTAAGCTAGCTGGATTTTTTGCTGAAATGAGTTGATTGCGACTCTTTGCTTTAAATAATCATTATTATTTAATAATAATACACATAAGTTCGACCATTTTGTTTAGCATATCAAGCAAAAAATTCAAAAAAGATTTGTAGCCTGGGGTACAACCCAGGATCAGGAGTTTGTTAAATCTTTTTAGTGTTCTGCTTGGTCTCGAGCATACAACCTGGTAGCTGCATTTTTAAACATAACAGAAAGCACCAAGCACAAGTGACTTAGTTATCTTTCTTCTTGAACCGAGGACAGTGCAAGAATGAGTATCCTTTCTAACCATAGCACGCCCCTGGAGAGAATCAGGAGTGAGAAGCATTCACTCTACCAGAGGAACATTACCCTAAACTCACTACCCCAGATTTGGAACTTAAGAGAGGGGGGAGAGTTTAACCAAATGAGAAAAGAAAGGAAAGAAAGAAAGAAAGAAAGAAAGAAAGAAAGAAAGAAAGAAAGAAAGAAAGAAAGAAAGGAAGGAAGGAAGGAGAAAGAGAAGAAAAGAAAGGCTTCCCTTACCAGTAACTTCTAAAGTTACTAGTGTACCTGTCTACATGCATAGATATGGACCTAGAGCCAATAACAAAAAATCAGGCTCCCATGGCTCTAACATAGAAGTGAATAACTATCCAAACCGAATCCTTCTGTGTGGTAACGAAGTAACTGAGATGGGAAAAAAAGAAAATACTTCCTGATTTTCTGAGTTTCTGAGGTTTTTAGTGAAAGAGATCATTCTTCTCGGCTCAGGACTACTATCTTTTTTCACTGGTGGCCCTGTGGGAAGTTTATACACTCTTCCATCACAATACAGATTCTCTTTCCAGAACCACCTGTGTTTGGTGTCCTTCAAATAACAGAATTGTACCATGTGACAGCAGGAAAGGACACCTTCGAGGGAATTCAGTTCAACTCTTCTGTCTTATCCATGAAGGAGCGAAGGTACAGAGATATAAAGGAACAGATCCACGGTTCTGGAGCTAATGAGAAGCAGAGCACCGGGCGCTGTGTTCTCTGCTACATTCCGCATGTCACACGGCTTCTCATTTTTAAGAGGGACTACATGTCAACCCGCATTCCTCCCTTATTTCCACTTGCTTCTTAAACTTTTCTTTCTCTCAGACATGCTCTTCTCTTCCCTGTCATCTTTTTCTTGTTCTCCTTTTAAATTAATCCTCTAATTTCTAATCTTATAATTCTCAAATCGTTGCTGAGATAGTATCTATAATAATTTACTCATGTGTTTTTGAAAGCGTTGTGGCAAAATAGTGCCTTGAAAAGAATATTAAACTTGGATTTAGGATTCCTAGGTGGTAATCCCAGTATGTCTTTAATTTCTGTAACTTTGGGCGAATCACTTTGGGTCTCTCATATGCAGTTTGCGACTCTATAAAAGAAAAGGGTTCCATAAAAATAAAGTAAAAAATAAAAGGTCTGGATGATCCTTAAGATTTCTTCTACTTCTACAGTTGTATGATTGTTTTGCTTCTGAACAAAGTTTAACTGTGAAGACAAAACAAAACAAAAAACCCATGCCTATTTTTTTAATCTTCTTAATCCATCACCCACTGGAACAAATCTACATTCCTCATGCTGTGCCTCAGTCCTAGCTTCCCCTTTCCACTCGGCAAAATGGGAATTATATTGAAGTAGTTCTCTTTGCACATTGCTTACCACAGCACCATACAGGCTCAATGGCTTAATAAGTATTTTTCAATATGATGATGACAACAATTACAGAATGTGGTGCAAACGCAGACATTCTAATCCCAGACATTTACAAATCTTTATAGAAATATCTTTATTATTTCTGTTTTACTCTTCCTTTCAAAGATCAAGAATAGGGGCACCTGGGTGGCTCAGTCAGTTGAGCGTCTGACTTCGGCTCAGGTCACAACGTCGCAGTGTGTGGGTTTGGCCCCGTGGCAGGCTCTGTGCTAATGGCTCGGAGTGTGGAGCCTGCTTCAGATTCTGTCTCCTTCTCTCTGCCCCTCCCCCACTCACACTCTGTGTGTCTCTCTCTCTCTCTCTCTCAAAAATAAATAAACACTGAAAATAAAAAAAAAAAAAACAAAGACAAAGAATAAAACATTAGTTTTGGCAGAAGAACATTGATTAAATTTCTGTAGGATCCATCCCTAACCAAACTGTTAATTAATTAAGTTTGAGGGGATCCTAGGAGAGGCATTTTTCTTTCCTGGTACCTAATAACCAAGTTTTATTTAGTCCATTAAAAATATTGGAATTTAAGTAGATAAGAACAATAGGTGAAATACAGCCTCAATAAGATTTTAGCTCTTGGAAAGACTAGTATTTCTTTCCTGTTAATGTGCATTTAAAAGGGAAAAAAACCCTTTTTAGGAGATGCAAGGAGGTAACCTGTTTATAAATAAGACTTATGAAGGTTTATGGTTTCCAGGATTTGCCTTAACATGTTCCCTAGAAAAGGAATTCCATACTGTTGAAAAGGGTGCAGTGTGCCCTCAGTCTAAAATGAAAGTTGAGTAGTCAAAGATAACTGCCCAGTAGCAAATATGAGTCACCATTCTAAATGATAAGCAAAAGACAAAAATAAAATAACTGAGAGTCGCAAAGCAGAAGCAGAATTACTGGAAGCTTTACTGGATTACCCAGGAGTGTTAGTTCAACTCCTGTTCTTACAGAATTGGATTTGCCTTTCGAAGACCTCCTAGCTATCAAGCACCTTAATGGTCAGCACGGCTGTGCGGCTTCACTGGCTCATTGGCAATGAGATCTTTCTTTTTTTTTTTGCTTGTTTGAAGGCAGTCTGTGTTAGAGAGATGGTTTATTGGTACTGTGCTTCCTTGGAAAACAAATGCTCATTTTGAGCTTTCTCCAGCTTTAAACTCATGCTAGGGACCTGGAGGTGGCTTTAAATATACTATAAGAGAGATTCTTCCCTTGTTTGGTGCGACACTTCGAGGAAAGAACGCTACAAGGAAAACTGGAGGGAGGGAGGGACCTCTTCAGCCAAGTGCAATGAAAAGCAGTGAACATTATCTGATTTTTCATTCCTGCAACTCCAGGTGAGTGAGAACAGAAAATCTATGTATTAGTTTCCAGACTGACACTCAGATATTTGGGTGTCTCACTAGAGAACAAAAGATGGGCTCTCATTAAAAAAGACATACAGGAAGCTGCACATCTTTATATAACTGCATTCAGACTGACTAGCGAATCTTCTCATCAACTGGAAGGCCGGCTATGAATTTACCCCAGTGCTCGAATATCTTTTCATAATTTAG